TCTGCCCTAGCCTCACGGAACAATGTACAATTTCCTGGAAGCACCACGCTGTCTCCCTCTCCAGCGCTTGTATTTGTTCCTACAATGTGCTTCCCTGCCTTATCATACTAGTCAATCCGTCAAGATTAAACTTGAGCATCACCCCCTCCACAAAGCCTTTCGTGACCCTCTCTTCCCTTCCTTTGGGTTTCCTCAGCACTGTGTGGGCCCCTCCATTACAGGACCCATCTGGAGATGATTCTGGGTACCTGTGCTCAACAGCAAACTTTGAATTTCACCTGACTAGGTGCCTACAATTTCAAGGAGCAAGTAATAGTCAACTGGAAATTCATAAAGTGTTATAGTTTTGTTGATTGTTGCTAACTGGAAGGATATTTTAATTAATATGGCTATGCTCCTCCCAAGTTTCACTTCTAAGGGCACTAATTTGATTTTCAAAATTGAGAGAGCCTGAACAGAGTATCTGCACTAATTTATCCATTCCTTTCTCCTAAGCCCTTCCATATTTTTCTGTGTTCTCTTTGAATGTTTTTCTGAAAGTACAGGTTTCCAATATTTGGGACCAAATCCGTGTGCATCGTGGGTGATTTTCATGCTGCTTGAAACACATGTTTTAGATTGAAATAGAATTTGATTTGAATTTCGAAATTTCAGAGATTGAATTTGGTGTCCTGCATAGTAACCACAACCCAATTGTAAATACTTATTTATTATACTTATTATAGACATTTGCTACGCATAGAAGATCTCTAATCTTCATAATTTTATTGATGAATTGCAGGAATACCTGTCTATTTTAGAAATAAAAGCCTATGAGCATTCAACTAAGAAGCAGTATAGAACTATAAATAATTGTAAGATATGTCATTCACGTATAGATGAATAACTTTGTATAGTCAGTGGATGATTAAAATAACATACCTGATTATTGGGGCAAATGCACATAATCTTCCCTCTTTCTCAACACTTAATCAGTAATAAAAACTGCTAATTTTATTATCCATTAATGTGAAGGTAAAAGTCCTTCAAAATTCTAGGGTTCTTTGATATAACATATCCCTCACTATTCAAATCTGTTATCAAACATCAATCATAGAAGAACATCAACTCAGAGTTTACTTGTGCTAAGTACTTGTCAGATATGAGCTCATGTAATCCTTATGTATTATTATGTATATGTATTATTAACTTTTTACAGATGAGAAAATTAAGTCATAAAAAGCTTAAATAAATTTTCCAAGAGAATCAGTATAGTATAGAGATTAAAAGCACTTGCTAGAAGCAGACTACCCAGGTTTGACTTCCTATTCCACCATTTACCAGCTATATAATCTTGGGAAAGGTACTCAGTCTCTCTGTGACTCAATTTTCTCATCTGTAGAATGTGGATTATAATAGTCCTGACCTCACAAAGTCTTGGTGAGGGTTAAATGACTTAATACATGTAAAACACTTAGGAGAACATAGTAAGTTATGTAATACTGTTTGCAAAGGGTGCCCAAATTGGGAGGCCATGGGGCTGGAACTTGTGCCCAGTGTGACCCACAAAACTGTTCTCATAACCATTCATGTTACCTAATCTGATCAACCCAAATCCTCTCATGTGATTTTTCCCAGTTTAACACTCTTGAATAGCTCCCTATTGCTTTCAGGATAAAGACCAAATCCTCTGATGTAGCACATAACTAGGGGGACTAAATCGTCTAGTTTGCCTGGGATGGTCCTAATTTATGTCATCCTGTTCAGTTTAGCATTTGTCCAGAATTTTTGGAATTTTAGTTTAGAAAATAGTTTTTAAATACAATTATTTTATAAATTGACTGACCAATTCATTGTCAGTAATACATATATCAAATTTACATAACTTTAGCTATTTTTATTATCCCCTCCATGGTCAAAAACATCCCTGCTTGGAAGATAAATCATATGGTCACCCTACATATAACACTCTTCATAAAACAGGCTCTGTTTACCTCTTCACTTCGTCTCTCTCCTCCCTCCCTTGTACTGTCATTGAATTGATCACAGTCCCCTAAACGAATCTTGCCTTTGCACAAACTGACCCTTCTAGTTGGACGGACTTTCTTCCTTCACTAGCCTGTGTCTAGATCATTCCAATGTTTCCTTCAGCATGCAGCATAAATGCCACCTCCTTGGGGATCTTCCTTGATTCCTCTGGGCTGGGTTTGCGGCCCTCACACGGCTCCTATGGCACGGTGGCTTCCCCATCCAAGCATTCTGTATGGGCCTTCTGTATTGTAATGACGATACTTGACTATGCTCTCCCTGAAGGGAGCACCTTGCATACATGTGGTCATTTGGATTCTTTCCTTCTTTCTTTACTTATTGAATGGATGAAAGAGGGTTAACTTTTTTTCTCTCATTTCCCCCCTATATATTGAAGCCGAATAAAGGTAAATTTTATTCTTCAATTTGGAGAGGATCTTAGAGTTCTGCAACACTTTAGTTTCTTCTTCTGTGGCACAAGAAACAAGGCCCTGGGAGTAGAGTGACTATTGGAAAAGTAAGAGAAAGTTATGAACATTCTCTGGGAGCTTCCATGAAACCTGACCTGACCCTGACCCTGATCCTGGCCAGTGTGGCCACTGCCGTATGAAGAAAAACTTACCCTCACAGCTGGCTTCGGCTGGATTTCAGCGCTGACTTGTCCCTCCACGGCACACTTGTGTGCAGGGCGCACACTGCACAGCCACACACAGTGGCCTGGCTCTGACCCACATCCTAACACTTCTGACCCTAAGTCCCCTCATCGCCTTAAGAAGCTGACCTCACCTTTAGCTCCTTCAATCCCAAAGCTTGACCTTGACCCATCTCTTGGTCAAGCACCTTACACAGAAAAGTCCAACAGTGCTAGCAAGGCAGCTTAAAAATAAAATGGAATCCTGAGATGTGACAGAGAGAAGAGGACGAGGGGAAGCTTCATTAGAGCAACGGAGAGCAGGGCAGTGAAGACTGGGTTTTATTCTTCTGATCTCAAGAGGTTCAGGCAGTTCAGAAAATGGATTTGTGTCTGAACTCTGGGTTGCCAATGAATGATAATGGAGATGGTGGTGGTGCTGATGAATATCTCTTTTTGTGGTCTTATAAAATATAGAAACATTCTTTGGAATTATAATATCACTTACTATTCCCTCTCACATACTGTTTCCTTCATGTAAAAGTTTTGCATCCCATATTACACCTTACTAATAATACCCATCATGACTGGGGCTTCTTTATACCTGCCAGACTCCATTCTCGGCTTCTTACTAGCAAGGCTGGGATTTGAACCCAGTGTCTGTGCTCGAACTACAGTACCATACAGCCTCTAACTCACAGCTATGTCACCCACATCTGTCTGCAAGGCACCAACTGTTGCTGTAAGGGGAGATAAATTAAAACAAGCAAAGCAATATGGACAGAAGCACGGCTGAGGGTGGCCCATGAGGTGGTCTGCTGGCCTGCAGGGCGTGGAAGAGAACAGCCAGGAAGCAGCCCTGCCAGAGTTAGGCTGCCAAGAGCTGACTGTCTGCCCCACACAGACGCTGGACACACACCATGGCTGCCAAGAGCTCTTCTTGGACATCAAAAGGCAGCAGCGTCAGCTTTCATATGCAATGGGAAAAATAAACACCCCATCAACCTGTTGATCCTATTCTATTTTGCAACACAGAAATTATTGCTTTCAACTCACGCCAAAAATTATTTCCTGAGTCATGGAGGCTACCTTCTGAGCTGTGTCCTTACTCTGAGCTTGTCCTAACTGGAAAATGACCATGGTGAGTAAGGAAAGCATTTCAGCTGCCCTTGCCTCATGCAGATACACAGCAAGAATAAAGAAAGAAAGAAATAACGAAGTTGAATAGAGAACAGACTTGCTTTTTGAAGTCCTTCTAAAGAAATCTAAGGACTAATTTTTGAAAATCCACAAAATTGAAGGCAGTTTAAAAACTCTTATTTAGTCAATCCCGTACAAGATAAATTTTCTAAAATACTCTGTTGAATTTTCAGATTTCAAATTCTTCAGGTTTGGTTGTTATCATTTTCCTCCATTTTGTAATGAAATTTCATGATTAAAAATGCATTCTAATTAGTTTTCTAAAAACAACAAAATCAAAATCTTGAAGAACCAAGGCTTCTGAAATCCCTCGAGTGGTGCCGTCCTTGGGGGGCTGTGTTCTGGTAAACACCACCTGAGGACAGCAGTTTCTCCGGCAGCTCCACACAGACGGTGACTTATTCTGCAACTGTTCCCTTTCAATCCAACGGGAGACAGAGAGCAGATAAGGCCACATCGAACACTGCATTTGGGTGTCCAGTGGGTCCCCAGGTGTGACAGGCAGATGCTCTCTCAGTAACCCTGTTTCATGAACGACTTCCTGCCTGCAGCAGAGACATGAGCTGAAAGACAGCTTGCCTCATGGATTATGAAAAGGTGGAATCGGAAAACACCAGTCATTTTGAGTTAAAGAGTATCCTTATTTGTCCCTTGGTCAGGAATTTAGTAGGAAAAAAGGCAACACGTAGTACTATGTCACCGTGCACACACCCTTTCAACGGCCACGTTACCAGAGAGGTGACTCCACCAACAAGGCTGTGTCAAACGACCTGAGAAAGGATGGATTTGGCCCCGTTTAGTGGTGGTGACAGGGATTCGGGAAGGGGAGAGTCCCGGACGCTTGCCATTTGATCACAGCTGGAGCGCAGTTCAACATTCTTCATCTCAAAGTCGTCCAGGGATGACTGATGGAGAATAACTCCCTCACTCAGCTCTAACAGGCCAGCGTCTTAAATAACCTGTTAATACCCTTTTACCTCTTTCATGACAGAAGAAAGAGAAGGCCAGACTGAAAATCCCTTAGTTGTAAAATTGAGTGCATCATAAAATAACTGTAAAGTCAATATTTAGTGTCAGGTCCATTTAAAATGTCACACTTCGGAAACGTCTTAACGTGACCCCTGGGAAGCAGGAGAAACAGTGCTGGTGTGTGGGATATTACCTCGTCAGCCCATATCCCGGGTGAGACCAGCTTAAGAGTGGGTTCTTCTGCTCTGTCTTACGTGTGCTAGGGGGTGACGTGGGGTCGGGTGGGGGCAGAGCGAGGAGAGGAAAGAAGAAAGACAAGAGAGAAGAGAAAAAGAAGAGATATAAATGGTTATCAAGCATCCTCAAGAGTCCAGCTTCCTCTGTTTTGTTTGTTTGTTCACATCTTCCCCACCACCTTTCCTACTGTCATTTAGCTTCTGGTCAGACCAGTGAGCTGCCTTCTAGAAGGAGGAATCTGAGACCACAGCTGAGGAGGCTGAAGGGGTGGCCATGGGGTGAACAGGGTGTCCTGGAACGGCAATATTCTTTTGTTTCTCTGAGATGATATCAATATGGATGGTACCAATTAAGTCCACGTTCCTTTGATGGAAGCTTTTCTCCCAATCGGATTATTAACTAAGATGCCGACACACCCGCTCCTCAGTTTTCCCGCAGTAGAGGTGGTAAGGACAGTCCCCTCCTGCCCCACACGGCACATTTCTAACAAACCAGCCTGAGGTCTATGCTTGGAGTGGAAAATTAGCAAGGGCTGATGACGCCGGCTGACCAAATGAAAGGGCCACCAGGCGTCTGGTCGCCCCTCCAGAGCATGATGGGGTAAGAGGGATGGGTGGGGGCTGCCGGGGGCTAAGATGACTGGGCTGAGGCCTGTTGATGAAGTTTCTGTGTGTCAGGCAGCATCGTCTCTGCGCTATGCTGAGATCTTTCTGCATACCTTCACTCCAGATCACCCGGCCCCAACCCCAGCACCTTCTCTTCAATCACCACCACCCTGCAGAGCCTTCTGAATCGTATCTGCACTGCTTTTCACCACCACGGGTAATTAAGAATGTTAACAAGCAAGCTCCTGCGCTCCCTCCAACTTCACCTTTAGAATGCTCGTAAAATTCCCACTACTCCTTTTGTGCCTTTGACCTTATATTTCATAAAAATCTGTAGTTTTTATGAAGCCTCTCCATCAAATCAACGTGTAAGCACCAAAGGCAAATAATCCTCCCACCCTCTCCCCAGGGCTCCCAAAGGGCATTCTGGTTTTTTCCCTTCACGTCATTCTACGCTTAAAAGCATCATCCAACAAGCGAACAAGCGTGGGAGTGAGTAAACGCGCTGAGAGACATCTTGTTGTGACAGTGAGCTGACTTAAAAGCAAAATGACAGATCTGTAACCAGTGACACGATATGGTGGAGAATGCTGTTAGAACATGCACGCACCCCAAGCTATGCTCTGTGCAACACGGTGAGAAACAGAAATTAGTTGAAATGGCTGGATCATGCAATTATTGGGAAAGAAGTTGCTGGGGAGAATAAAAAAGTGTGAATACCTGTGTAGGTCATAGCTTCCTCCATCTTTATTTCCTGATATAGGAAAATACAAGAGTAATTTATGTTAGCTTTAGAACTCACAAAACCACTCACTACGTAGTTTTCCATGCACAACATCTAAATCCTAGAAAGAAACACATTGTGTTAAATACAGACAGTGTCGAAGTCCAACAGAGCTTTTCTATTAGACAGGTTCAAAACGAGGATTGAAAGCTATAAATAAAAGGTTTAAGCTAAAACATATAAGAGTTCTCACGAAAAAGGGGATGGGGTGAGAAGGAGGAGAGCCCCCTTAAAAGCAGTAAGAAAAGTACTTCTAGAAGTCCATGTAAGTCTCAGCAAAAGTTAAATTTTGGTTATTTTTAGACAAAACACTTGAAAAAAAGGGCAATAATCATGTCCCTTAGGAATCGTCTAGAAGGTGGAGAGGAAGACTTGAAGGGTACGAGCAATAACTGGCCCCACCTGCTGTGTCATTTCACCATAAGAGACTCTATCAGATTTCACTAAGTAGAGCTGTTATGTCATCACCAATCAGAGTGCTATGTTCTTGGGGAATGAAATATCTGGGTGTAAGATTTCTAGTGCCTCTAACAGTCGGTTTAGTTTCCAGGCCTTAGCGGGATTTTTTTTTTCTTCCTAAGATTTGAGGAAAAGGTCAACAGATAAGCAGCAAGTCTGAAAAGATTTGAGCTGAGCGGGGTCAGTGACCAAAAGACCTATTTTGCAAGTTAAGGCTGGACTCCTCGGACTGGCAACGAATGCCACTAAGGTGTTAATTGAGAAGTGTTGACTGAGAGCTGCGGGGTGACCTCTCTCCCAGGATTTATGGTTCTTTATGGGACTCTCATAGCTCAAAAGCCTTCAGGACCCTACAATGGTGGAAACGACAGGTGACGATGTTGATCATTTTAGGATGCCCCCCAAGTCACATGACCCAGGGAGCTGCCCATTGCTGGTGATGCTGGCTCTGCATGGGACCCACAGAGACACAGGCTTAAGGATGCTGAGAAACCTCAGCTGCACAATGGAGGGTTCCTGCAAATTACTCCCCACTGTCCGTGAGTGCAGCTCTTCACTTTTTTGGGGTTGGCATGCTGTGCTGATGCCAAGCCCTTGGCCAGGTTCAGCTCTTTCTCCCTCCTTCTATGGACAGCGAGTATTTACATTTCTACAGGAATTACGAGAAAATAAGTATTCTCATTAACTAGGAAAGAGCTGGGACGGGCACTGAAAAGAACTACACCCTCATAAGCCAAAGGAGAAATAAGGTAGTTTAACACTGCAGACCAGGGACAGAACATCTGGCTCATTCCACAAGCCCTCTTACACGTTTAGATTCCAAGACAATGAATTGCTCAAATATCTCTAGTTTCAGATAGGAAATACTGGCAAAAGAAATCTAATTCACTGTGTCGTGGGCAGGGGTCCACCTGGGGGAGCTCCAAACTGTGATAAGCAGACATAGGGCATTGTGTGTTTCCACCCAGATTTTCTTAAAAAAAATAAGATATCCAGATTTACTTAGAGTATATTTTATGACTGTTGACAGCAATAACAAATAAATCCCCAACACTTTCCTCCCATCTTCCCATGGATGCTTCTGTCAGGAATTGAGGTTTACTAACAGAATAGGCCTGTGGGAGAGACTGGAATGAAACGCTCACCAAATCTTTCGGCGCATTAAATTTTTCATTAATGCCCCAGAGCTAAACTTAGAGAACAAATTATGTTTGGAATTGCATGGAAAGTTTCCCCTCTAGTATCCCAAACTATACGTTTCTATGCATGTAAATGTTTCAAAGGCAGAAAACTTGATAATACAAAGAATTTCCCGGGTAATATAAGACAAAAAAAATGTTTCTTTTCCTTACCAACTTCAAGGCCCTTAGGTCTCGGGTTGCACTGCTTATATCCTTGACAGCTTCTGAGCTCCATGAGCTGCATGTGTAGCTGATTCAAAATGCCCCGTTCCACTGTGTGCACCGTATTTGTGAGCTGCGGATGAAGAGGTGGGACAATCTATTTAAACTCATATTCTGGTTATTCTGTTTTCAACAACCTTCCTAAAGTGAAAACATACTGACTTACCTGATAAGGATCTGTATTCATATCAAAATACTCCAAAAAGCCAGTGGCAAATTCGCAGAAAAGAAAATTATGTGTCTCATTAACCGTACGCAGACACCAGTAGGTGTTATTGTTAGAACTCGTGCAAGCACAGAAAGATCCCACTGTTGGTGAAAAAGAAAAGCAGGAGAAAATGAATGAAAAAACGTAGGCAGGCTCGCCATTCTAATGCTTCCCTATCTTTACACTTTAAGGGTCACATTTTCTTTTTTGTAAATACTATGTGGTTAGATGTTAAAAATAACTATATTTCTCCCCCTCTCTGTACAAATTGGCTGTGAGACTAGGTGAAAATGGGAAAAAACAATGGCGATCTACAATGGTGATTATAGGCTGAAGGCTAGGGGTGAAGTGTTAGGCACATTAGCTTGCCCTCCTCCTAGTTCTGTGAGACAGTGGTCTCCAAATAGGGTGAGTGATTGGAGAATGGGGAGGAAAATATCAGGACTTCTATCTATGGTTATTTTTATCTTTTTTTTAAAAAAGGAAAAAACGGTTATTTAATAGAGATGGACCTGGGGCCCTAGCTTGTTCTGTATGTCAGATGGCCATGTGTCACATATGGTGTGTGGAAAGAGGGGAGATTCCACAGTGTGGAGGGGTTTGGAGAAGGCTTGAACCCAGCACAGTGGACTTTTGGATGATGTAATTTGTGATCATCATAGACTTTAGCACACTTTAACACGAGATGGGCGGTCACCACGAGCATCTTTCGTACCACATAGAGGTTCACTGGTTAATTTGCAGAAAGTATGCAAAAGAGATGTCAAATTTAAGAAACAAATCACCCACTCTTCTTTCACAGAAAGACAAAGGTTCCAAATTTGCTGCCATGATTATTGAATTTCAGAAATGTGCTGTCTGGTAAATATTTTTAAAACAATTGGGATAGGTACACTTAATGAGCATTCCTTGTGCACTATGTACTTTGCATGTATTAACTCATTTAATCCTTAAAACAACCTTGTGAGATAGATTATTATTATTCCCATTTTACAGATGGGAAAACTGAGGCACAGGGAGGTTAAGTAATTTGTCCAAGGTCACACAGCTGACAAGTGGCAGCACTAGGGACTCGGTTAGAGGGTTTACTCTTAACCACTACATGCCATTGCTGTATGCAGTATTAAACATACTAATTCTGTCTCCTTAAGCTAAAAGGGACATTTTAAACAATGAATGAGAAATGATTTTTTAAAAATTTTATTTTGATAGACTTTATCTTTAGAGCAGTTTTAGGTTCACAGCAAAACTGAGCAGAAGGTATGGAGAATTCCCAGAGAATACCGCCTGTCTCCACATATGCACAACCTCCCCCACTATCAACAACCCTCACCACGGTGGGACATTTGTTACAACTGACGAACCCACACTGACACATCATAATCGCCCCAAGTCCACAGTCTACACTAGGGATCACTCTCGGTGTTGTGCACTCTGTGGGTTTTGACAATGTATAATGACACGCATGCACCATTGCAGTGTCACACAGAACAGTTTCCCTGCCCTGGAAATCATCAGTGCTCCACCTCTTCATCCCTCCCTCCCCCAGAGATGCTTCTTCAAAAGAAAAGAGAATATCTTAAAAACAGATGATTGGGAATGTTTTCATCATTATATGATTTTTCATTGAAAGTGCCCTAAATATGTCATTTATAATTTATATTATTTATACGTGATCACTTATCTCACATTTACACACATAAAAACCATGGAACCAGAATTTCTAATCTGTGTAAAAATCTTCCAAACCAACAATTTAAATGGGTTTTGAACTCACTTGATAAAATACACAAATACAACACCTTCTGATTGCTTTGGAAGAATAATTGATAACTCTCAGGGAGGATGGAAATTTACAAGTGTAATTTCTATGAAAATGACTACTCAGTTGATGGCAGTATTTAAAACATGAATGTCATGGTTTACTCGTTATGCCAATGATGCCCGTCTATTGAACTGGCACATCGTCCTGTGTCATCTTTCATATCAAGGCAGTCATTAAGAACATGTACCAAAACTCAACTGAACCTTTGACTCAAGGTATTGTAAAGTGTGACGCTGAGATTTAGGAAAAAAAGAAAGCATATTTGATAAACAAGAGCAAAATGTTTTGGAACCTCCAAAGAATAAAATAAAAACCATTTTAAAAAACTCTTTTCTTTACCTTTATCTCATAATTTTAAATTTCTATTTTAGGTATTTTTATAATACACAAGACATATTAATATATTAGTCTAGTAGTGCAAGGATATAATTAAATATAGGTGGTGAGTTCATTTAAACAACTGATATGGGTACAGACCCAAAAGTGTTTAGAGACCACTGCATTAGAGGATCGTGTGCCTGGGTGGATTTGGTTTTTTTCCTATTTTTTTATTGAATATCTACTACTATGCCAATGGCTCACAGGAATAAGACCATTAAAATATGAAACAGAATATATAAAAAATATCAAAGTGTATCACACATAATATTACTTCTTGAAATTTTTACTTCTACACATATATTACATATATATCATATAAATTACATATACACACACAGATGCAGATATACATTTGTGTATGTGCACATATGTGCACAGGATCCTGATAGAAAATGTATTTTTTACTGTGTTCATTGTGAAAAAAATTCTGAAAGCTCCTCCCTAGAATATCAGTACAATGAGCACCAAGAATGCATTGTACACCAGAAGGAGCATCGAATTTGGTATTGAATGAAATCAAGTCCCCTCTGTTCCTGAAAAAGTGGAGTGACTCACTAAAATTAAGGTCCTTGACAGTAGGGGACTATTTTCTGTTCCTCGTGGCACTAGCGCAGTGATACCCACCGGCAGGCGCTCAAAGGTTAGTTATTGACTGGAGTCGATTTGCTCTTGGAGCAGGTGGTTTGCTTGTTAGTTTATTCACCTAATACTTATTGAGCATCCCCTTTGTGTCAGGGGGTACAGCATCTCACAGACACGGTCTCGTATCTCGAGAAACTTACAGTCGAGTAGCAGAGACAAATGTTAAACCAAAACAAAAGCAAAAATAAAACCCATATAATTACAAATGTGATGAGTCCTAAGGAGAAAAAGTAAGCTGAAAGAGTGTACAAAAGGGGCTTAACTAGTCTGAGGCACAGGGACAGTCTGAGTGAGAAGCGACATCACAGTTGAGCTCCGAGGGGTGAGTACATCTGTGATAGGCTCAGGGTTTCAGATTGGCATAGGGTCAAAAGCCTTCTAGGAAGAGGGAACAGTGTGTGCAAAGGCCCTGAGGTGGGAGGGAGCTTAGGATGCTTGAGGTAGAGACAAGAGCCAAGTGGCTGAAGTAGATGAGAATGGGAGGAAATGGGACCAGAGTAGGACAGGAAAGTGGCACACATGTGGATATGTTAAAAGATTTTGCTCTTTATCCCAAGAAAAACGGACATCATTAAATGAGCAGAATGGCAAGAGAGGAGTCTGGGAGACACACAGTGGGTGTTGCAGTGGTTGAGGTAAGAAATGGTGGTGTCTTGGGCAGGATGGTCTCAGCTCAGATGGGGAGAAGCAGATGGAGGTCTGAAGGACCTCCTATACAAGGTATGAGCAAACCGTAACTTCCTGTTTCTCAATACTCCATCCTCAAAGGGGCTTACCAGTCCCGGACACAACAGATTCATTTCTTCCTCAGGACCCCTGCTTCAGCCATTCCCCTGCTCGGGGTGCTGCCCCTCCCACCCCTCGGCTCTTCAGATTTCTGCTGAGATTTCACCTCTTCACAAAGGCCCATCCTCCCCACCCTCTCCAAAACGGTGCCTTTCAAAAACTTGGATCACCATTTCCTTCACAGCACTACTAAACCTTGTAATTAGTTTATCTATTTCATTAACTTTCTCCCCACCCCCCAACGCCCACTGGAATATAAGTATCTTGAGGGCCGAGAATGAGTGCATCTTGTTCGTGGTTGTGTCCCATTGTTCAGCCCAGGGCCTGGCGGAGAACAGATCCCCAGCAAGCTGAACGACCCCCACAGACCCCCACACCCCGGTTTAGGGAACTACATTAAAAGTTAAATGCTTTGCCTTTAAGAGTTCACTCGGCCTAGACGTGACTGTAAACACAGAGGCAAACATGGACGCTGAAATCCAAAAGCATCAAAACAGAAAGATAAAACAAAAATTCTCCCAGATAGGAACCAAAGCTCCCCAAGAATGGCCTGTGGACTCCTAGGGATCTCCAATCCCAGTCTGAGAAACACTGAGTCGGGTGGTCTCCTGTGACCCTTTCAATGAGAAGATCCGAGGTTTTAGCTCTTCCACAGGGTGGGAAGCCTTCAATCAGACAAGGTGCCACCAGAATTTAGGACACTGTTTCTATGTGGCCTCAGTGAATGCCGTGTACAGACCACTAAAGCAAATATAAGCATTGATCTTAAAAGTGCACAGTTGCTATTATTGCGTATCCTCGGAAATTCCATACAAAACCAAATATTTGGTGGAGTCCCCATTATTCTGCAAGCATGGTGCTAGGGACGGAGCGGGACACAGAATAAATAGGATACGGCCCCTGCATTTGAGGAGATTTACTTCCTTTTATTATACTTAGAGTATGCACTTGAAATAAAGCAAAACCAAAATATATTTGGGGTAAAACTGCTCATCCATTTATTTAGTTATTTAGTTATAGAGCAGTCTTACTGGGCAGGAACTCCGTCAGGGGCTGGGTACTGTGGGAAATATCACCAGGAGAAAAACCCAGGGAGAACTTGGCATTTTCAAACAAAGTACCCAAAAAAATTTCTAAAGAGAGGCTGGCCCAGTGGCATAGTGGTTAATTTCGTGCGCTCCACTTTGGCGGCCCGAGGTTCACAGGTTCAGATCCCAGGCGTGGACCTGCACACTCCTACTCAAGCCATACTGTGGTGGTGTCCCACATACAAAGTAGAGGAAGATGGGCACAGATGTTAGCTCAGGGCTAATCTTCCTCACCAAAAAACAAACAAAAATTTCTAAAGAAAAAAGTAATTTTGGGCAAAATGATTCTACTGGCCAGTATAGAAGATAATATAATGCTTTCCTCTTGAATCTTTCTAGAATCCTCTTTTTAGGCTGCTGAATTGCTAGTCTGAGTAACTGCAGTATTGTGGCTGTCTCTCCACCTGGTGGCAGGGAGTGGCATTTAGAACGAGTAACTCACAGTTCCAGAAGGGGGCGGTCTGCCAGTGGTTGTTGTCGTGCGTGAAGCACGTCAGGCCGGGAAGGCTGCACTCCTCCCCCTTCCGCTGGCGTCTCTTCTCCTTCCTCTCCTTCCTCCTCCTCCGGTGCTCCTTGAACAGCTGCAGTTTGCTGTCTACTTCTTGAGCAGCTTCCCTGTTCCAAGCGAAGGGAATTTTTTCATGATCAGAAAGCACTTTCTCAATTAAAAATAGGATTGTGGCTATGAATCTCACACAAATATTTAGACACGAGATAATAGATCCACGGTAATTGATGACCTTTATTTTTCAGAGGGCCTCACAATATAATCAGCAATAGTGAAGACAAAACTCGTTGAGTGACAACTTTCTTAGAATTTTACTGAGCCTTAATAGGATCGACATTTTCTTCCTTATTTACATGTGAACATTGATGGAAATAAATGTCAAGGTGAATCAGTAGATCCTGTTGGCCATACCCTTCGGGCAAATGGCTTAACTTCCTGGTGGCTCAGGACCTCTCAGCCATGAAGCCAATGGTTGGTTGGGTTAGACGGTTTCTAAAACTCTTTGACAAATCCTACAAAATAGTCTTGGAAATAATTTTCTTTTTTTCTTATTGGGTTTTTCCATAAAGGGCTCAAATTTTGTGGAAGCTCAAATACTAAGTCCCCTTCACAGGCAAATTTTACTATTATTTAAAAAATATGTATATTTCTTCCAACTCTCAGAATTCACCATAATCGCAGGCTGCTCCATAGAACACACGGAGCTAATCCTGAGAGTCCACATCTCCCACGCACTGTCCACAGAAAGCAGTGCGTGGAGGAAAACCCAGTTCCTGGCCTATACATCGGCAGAGAACACATAGAGAATTACAGAGTCCTGTAATGAGCCACACGGCTCCCCCTCAGAATTCCAAAAGCATCCCCACGGTCCCTCGGCAGGGTGTGGGCTTGGTTTCAACTTCTTCAGCTAATGCCCTCCCAGTTGAATCTACTTTTTCCAAGAAGCACTGATACCGGCTCAATACAAGGTTGATATAAGAGAAGCCATATTGTAGAAAAGAAACCATCTTGTAACTTTGAATGACCTCTGATTAACCAACCCAGCTGGATATGCACCCTCCAGGCTTTTGAGTTCCTTAGGAATGTGATGACCCCTGGGCAGAGAGTCTCTGCTGATAGCCATCATCAATGACAACTGAAAGATCTGGGTATTGGGTGTTGCTCTGGTCTCTGAGGCATATCCAGTAAAACAAAGACTATCAGGAACTAAGACCAGATGTCTGCCCCTAGTCAGGGATCAGATGGATGCCCCTACCTGGAGACCAGATGCCTCCCCGACCCAGAGACCTGCCTCCTATATACCTGGCCTGTAGTTTTTGCTCCGTAAGATGGTTCTTTTGGACATTAGTTGGCCATCCTCCCCCTTGCTAACAAGCTGTAATAAAACCTTTTCTCTCCTACCACCTTGCCTCTAGACTACTGACATGTCTTGGGTGGGCAGACGACCCCGCCTTGGGAGGTAACACACCACTTGGACACAGGAGTCCCTGCAGCCTTTCAGAAGAGCCCAGTGGACACCCCTTCACTCCCAGCAAATGTGGGACGCAGAGAGTTACTTACTTGAATGGGTGAAGATGACTCTTCAATTTCTCTTGCTTTTTTACACCTTTCTCTTTATTGTAATAGCTACAGGCAAGAAGATTAAAAAGTGAGTCTTCATCATCTTGCATTTGACCAAACAGTTCATTTTATAAAGACAAAGCAAAATAGAAGGAAGGCAGTTACTTTGTTATAACTATCTTAGCTCAATGGGACTTTTTTTTTTTTTTACCTCTGTTTAGGTTTATGACATATTTAATTTGACCTAAATAGTTTAGGTCATTACAATATATGATAATGAATTTAATTTATTAAGCTTTCTATTGGTAAGAGAATGGAGCCTAGTGGTAAGCACTGTAGCTTGTGTGCAAATGAGTTTGGGAAGGAGGCCATGGGATGGAGACATGCTCACCTCTGCTTACTGCAGCCACATTCCTCAGGCTTTCTTCTCTTTAGATGTCCTCTCACTTCTCTTAAATTCTTAATTTTATCTTGCAAAGCTTCAATCTGGAAAACACACATTTGAACAGTTACATTTTAAGATCAGGATTTTCTTCGCTAAGTACCTTTCTTTTCACCTTATTTTCTGTGTCCATAATTATAGCTATTCATCTGAGATGATAATTAATTTGGCAACAGACAGGACACAGAATACATCTCCCTCTCTATTCCAACTGATGTGCTATAGATAAACATGCGCAGATGTCTCATTTGTAATTGAATCATTTTCCCACAGAGGTTTCACAAGGTCATTGAACCAATCCCTATTTTTTTCTCACACTATTTTGTTTTCAGTTAGGACTATCACTGGAGAAAGATAAATACCTTGCTGTTCTATTTTTCACAAAATTATAAAAAGATGAAGTGTACACCCAGGATGTCCCACCAGACACAGCAGGGCTGGTGAGCATCTGGAATATACCTTCCAATCACATAGCCATGGCTAACCTCTTTATCGATGTATGCCTTGTGGTCCTTCCAGGCTCTGGCTGATTGATAGAGTTCTCGCTCACAATGGATTGTATCATTTGGAAGAATAAAGCACCTGCAAAAGCAAACAAAAAACATTAGAAATAGCACAGGGAACACAATCATCCTCTAAACTCTTAATTTGGAGATAGGCAATAGTTTGGAGCTGAGCCATAGACAAGGATAAGTGGGGATGTCTCCTGGTGGGGGCAAAGGATGGTGTCAGAGAGAGCATCACCAAGACCATCTTTCAATACCCACATCCCCATGAACAGATACCACCACAAAACCCAGTTTTGAAAGCCTCACCAAATATTGTAGGAAAAAATGAGGTTTTCACAGTTATCACGGAAATAGCTTGATTGAAGAAATGCAGAGTTAGAAGTGGGTTATGCATCTCATTCATTTTGTTATAAAAAGCTTGTGTCAAGTACCCCATTAAGTTTGAAGCGAGGAAACAGCCCCAGGGAAAGACAGCAGGTGGGGTGGGGGTCAATCAACGCTGACAGAGAAACCGATCCTGGTCTAACTCTCCCAGCACGTAACCGTAACAACTACAGGCACCGGGGACCAGTCCCAAGGATGAAAGTCCCGGCAGAGCTCGTGGTACCCCTCCTCCCCAAGGCGATGAAATGAAAGAGAAAACAAAGATCTCGCCAATAAATTCAGAAAGAAAGTGCTTCTCTAGGTAAAAAGGTAGAAAGCTGTGGGGAAATCGTCTCCCCGTCCTGTCTCCATGAGTCCCAAGGCCCTCTGTGCCCTCAGGGGTCTGGACGGGTTAGGCGCTTCTGCCTCTTATGTCCATTCCCGACACGTGCCGTCTCTCTGGAAGCTTCTCCAGAGCCCACACTCCTCCCTTGGGCTGTGTTTCATTTCTGAGGCCGTGAGTGTACAACCTCTCTGAGCCACAGTAACCATGCAGCATGGAGAGCCTCCATCAGTCGCAGTAATGGTTTCCATCTGTTTTCTAGACTCCCACAAAGGTAACCGCTTAAGGGCAGAACTCCATGCCTGCTAAGTCAAGATGTGACAGAATCACTCTGGCTAAATTCCCAGCCGGTCAGCTTTAATGTGAAATTGAACTCAAAGCACACATCCAAATGTAGGATCATCTGGACTCCCTGTTGCTTCTTAAACCCCCAGTGGCTCCGTGGGCCAGCCCTGTGACACCGTATTGCCGAGGGATATCACTTTTTGTAAAGGAGCAAAATGGTGATAATATGGGGGGATGACTTTGAACCCCAACCCTCGTGAACACCTAAAGCTTCCTACTTGTGCGTCACCCGGACGGTGGCGGGCAGGCCCACGGCATTGCCACCATCTGCCAGCATCACGTCCCTGTCGCTGGCTGCCTGGCGGCCTCCGGGCCCCTTGCGGCCTTCATTGTGGCGCTTGGCGATGTTTCTTGGTCGCAACACTTGCAATTCTTCTTCCTCCAGGTTTATGTCATATATTTCGCCTTCAAATTCGACTGACAAGGAACGTGTCTGCCGAGTATGGACAAATCTGGGCTTATACTCTGGAAATAAAGGAAGATACGTTAATATGGATGTAGTTTATGGAGGCAGATGTAGTTTAGGAGGGAAGAAAAGCATCACCTGGCTTGGTGAGCATTTTGGGAAGGGGCGAGCAGTACACGCTGCATAGCTGACGGCCATCTCGATGCTGTGGACAGCCCACTGTGACTCACACCAGCAGGGGCGGGCTCCTGTCTAGCTCTGCCACTGCATAGCGGTGTGATGGATAGCATGCTTCTCTGGGCTTCAGGCCCTTTGTCCCTCCAGTGAGGGGTAGGTCTGGGTGACCTCTAAGATCCTTTCCACTTACGGCAGGCTGTGGACATCCACACCGAGTTTTCACCGTGAACTGCTAAGGCAGTTTGTTTGGATAAAACTCTATTCCCAATTATGGTATTAATAATAATAATGACTATCACTTATTGACTTTTTGCTATGTACTATTCACTCATACTTATCTCTAATCCACAATCTTGAAAGACAGGAATTATTAGAATAAATCCTTACATTAAAAAACTTATCAGATTGTCAAAATAGGCTCATGCATTTGGTGTTATTACCCTTATTTTATGGGTGAAAAAACTGAAGCTTTGAATGTTACGTACATTTTGCAAGGTTATGCAGCCAATAGCTGTGGATGCTAGAATTATAATCTATCACAATCTAAAGACTACAAAGTCTTCCCACTGCGTTGGGCTGCTTTTTCAAAAAGGTAAATACTCTAGACACCTTCTGTTTGCACAAATAATAGAGATCGCTCTAAGAAAAATTAAATTTTGCAAATGCTTTCATCAGCCAGCTGACTTTTAAAACCTGGCAGATGGAAGGTAATGCCAGGGGGAGGCCCGCAGGTTTTCTGGTCCCTACAGACCACTGTCAAGGCTCAGAGTGTGCGAGAGAAGAGCTTCAACATGCAAACATGGCCCCTCCTTAGCAGACGCACCTAGGCTCTGGGAGGCATACCCACGTGGCCTGCCCTTGCCAGCCTGCTGCTAAAGTAGGCAGAACGGGAGAGCACTGGCGGTGGAATCAGAATCATCACACTCCCTGCAGGATCCCGCTCTGATGGCAGTTTCCAGATCGGGAAATGCCTCTGTGACAGTTGGCAGGTCACCTAGAGTGCTCACTTAACTGTGGAAAAGAGGAGAACCACGCCTGCTCTCAAATACATAAGATTCCACACGGACTGAAAAAGTGGCCCCAGATTTCTCCAGTTTGGCTCAACACTGAGAAATCAATGTGCTTTATGGTCATTGCTTGGGGGGCGACATCTAAGTTCCTGGGAGAGAAGAGGGTGCCCTGGCCTCTAGGCTGAACATTGGCACTGGTTCCTGTTAAGGGAAAGTGTCAGGGTCCCCGTCCCTGTCGGTTTCCCAGTTGATGTAATGTGAATTATTGAGCCCGGCATTTTCTCTCAGGGAAGAAACTTTCCCAAATCAATGGTTCCCGGCCTTTTGGGTTATGAATTCCTTTAAGAGTTTGTTGAAAGTTATGGACATCCAGAAAAATGTGCTTTTAAGTATGGAATATACTTAAAATTTTGGATAAAATATTAGAGGGCTCATGACCCCCTAAAGTTCATCTGTAGAGTCCAGAATAAAAAAGCCTGTTCTAAGGTCTTCCATCATTCTAGTGAATGATTTGATTTCCTAATTTTGTACACAGAATTGAATTTAATGCACCTTGCTTATTTCCAAAGCAGTATAGAAAGGAATTACCACAGAAATGGGTCACTTTTCATATTGTGCCACTAGATGGCACTAGCCTCTCATTCTTTTATGGAAGGAGCATGCCCGTGGGTTTTCATAGCTATATAATCATAGGAATCTCATAGCTGCCTGATAAAGTTTTTATAAAGAAAATGCTGGCCAGTGCTTTTCATCCTGAATTCTACTAGTTTGACCCTGCCAGTCAACAAGAGGAATTAAAAAAATCATTGTCTTAAAACAGATATGCCATTAAAAAAGGTATTTATATTTAGCTGCTGATGGAATTACCTTGGGGAGAAGCACTTGATCCAAAGGTTACAGGAAGTGTACTGATCTTCGCACACCCTGTCTATACCCCATCTCCACTGACCACGTACCCAATGTGTAATATGATGCCTGGAACAGAATTGGGCACTCAGCAGTGACAGCAACAAGATCAGTCTTGGTGGAAAAATATCATATAGAAGGGAGAAGTCAAGAGGGCGGCGTAGGCAGACTCTGAACTCACCTCCTCCCACAGACACAGCCAATTTACAACTACTCGTGGAAAAATTGCCCCCGAGACAGAACTGAAAACTGGATAAGAGGAACTCCTGCAACAACGGACACTCCTAACTGAGGTGGAAGAGGCAGAAACTCCCTTCTGGAGAGGAAAAACACCGCCTTCACAAGCCGCCAGCTTCCCGGCCGCCGGGAGCTGCCCAAAGGTCCGCAGCCCTCCCTGGAGGCGCGGGGCCCTGAGCCGGGGAGCGCCCCCGCTGGGGGCATTTTGTGGACCCAGCACAATCGAGA